TGTATGTTACAATTCAGATCTTATTTTATTTTTCGGTAACAAGTGGTTCGTTTTTTTTTTTTTTTTTTTTTTTTTCTAAAATAGCTGACTCGAAGATTTCTACTTTTAAGTTAAAAGTTAAATTCAACACTAAGCATTTTATCAGTTAAAAGTTTTAACTGATGCTCAGTGTTGTTGTATATCCAGAGTTTTCATAAAATTAGTTATGGGTTGGAGTAACAGATGTAAAGAAAAAAAAATATTTTTACCATGCGTTACAAAAACAAAAAAAATTTTAATCAAAAGTTAGAATGTTCTAAAAAGGATGGAACAATTTAATAAAATAATTAAAATATACTTTTGTCTTTCCTCTTAATAACATACACATTTTGACGATAAAACTTTGTTTTCATCAAGTTTAAGGCCGTTTTTATCATGCTATGCTCTATTTTCAGCGAAATCGTGGAGTTACCATATTCAGGGCATTAATAAGTACCTTCATGAGATCGCCGGAAAATGAGCATAGCATGATAAAAATGGCCTTAAACTTGACGAAAATAATTTTTATTTGTCTAACTGTTTATGTTATAATCAAGAGGAAAGATCAAAGTATTTCTTGATTATTTTTTTACATTTTTTAATCATTTCGAGCACGTCCAAAATTGTCGTTTAAATTTTTACATCTTCAAACAATTTCAAACATTCCATCTCTTTCTTAATCGTTTATTTCGAGTAGTACACTTGACACAGCAACCAGAATATTTTTCACATTACAATAGACAATAATAATAGTTACACACGGATCACGATTTAATTATTAATTGGATCATTTTCTGTTAATTCACCGCAAATAATGTAAAGTTACTTATTGCAAATATTAATTCAACCCAATAAATTATAAATTTGAAATTTGTTTTTTTTTGTTTTTTTTTTTTTTTTTTTATTAAATATTCGGCCCTCTAAATTTTATAAATCAAAATTTGTTTAGCTTTTGCTTACCTCACCCAACTGCAACCCACTGAATAAAAAATTACCAGAGATCAGGGAGTTATTCACATTTTTTAAGTTGGCAAATGCGGATGAAAAGTACTTACAAGAAATCTTTTACGGTTTAAAAAGAAAAAAAGAAAGTCGTTTTATTTTATTTTTTTACTTGTTTATCGGTGTGAGCGCGAAAGCTGACCGCCACACTTAGAAATAACGCTCTCGAGTCGCATACTTGAAGCGATCGCTAAGGTCAACCCAACAATGACAGGGCATGGCTTTGGGATAATTTAGTGTGGAGTTTAGTAAATATAAATTCTTATTATTTTGAGGTGAATTAAAAGAAAATATTCAAATACTTCTATTTTATAAAAGTAATAAGAGGATCCAGTTAGATACATAAATCCACAGTAAATTGACCCCCTTAAGAAGACCCTGGGCTAAAGGAAGTTTAGGGCTTCTTCATTTCGCGCCCACTCCTGTGTGTGTGTGCGTATATGTATTAAGTATGTATGTATATGTGTGTGTTTATATACATACACACACACACACATGTTATATACATGCACACACACACACATATATACACACACACACACACATATATAAATATATATCTATAAACTCACACATACACACACACATATATATATACATACACACATATATATATATATATATATATATATATACAAACTATATATATACATATAAATCACACATCACACATGCACACATATATAATACATACAAACATACACACACACATGTATATATATATATATATATATATATATACATACACACATATATATATAAATATATATCTATAAACACACACATACACACACACATATATATATATATATATATATATACACACACACATATATATATATATATATATATACACACATATATATATATATATATATATATATATATATATATATATATATATATATATATATATATATATATATATATATATATATATATATATATATATATATATATATATATATATATATATATATATATATATATATATATATATATATATATATATAACACACAGGGTGATTGAAAAGTAACTCTCCATTTTATACTTTTAATTATTAGTTATAATTTAGTGTTTTTAACCCGAGGTTTTATTTAAAATTCATTATGGGGGAAACATATTTCGTTACCAACTTTTCGAGTGGCACAGGAATCGTGTCAACTGATCTCACCAGCAACTCCTGTGGTATGGAAGACATATCTTCTTGTATTTGTCCTTCAAGTTCTTCCAAAGTCTTTAACCAACCTCAAAGAAAAAACGTCGCAGTGTGTTAAGTCAGAACTTTTGGCTGACCACACATACATAAAATAGGAAGTTACTATTCACTCACCCTCTAGATGGTTTTCTTGGTGTAAAAAAACATGATATCCTAAATTTTTTACTAAATGTTCATACAAAAAGATGTATCACAATCTAAAGGGAGTCCTTTACAAGGGGGCCTATCGAATTTAAAAGACCCACTCAAAGTACAAAAGCCCAAATACTCTCGAAGTCTCTAATTTTTTTTCAAATTCTTAGAAGACAACGACCTACTTACAAATTTTCTTTTTCATGTTATAACAGTTTTGGAAGATATCGCTTTATGAAAATGTAAAAGCTAAAAGCATCCAAAACTCGTTAATTGGAGAATACCGAGGGGTCAGGTAAAATGTGGCCAGGGTGTATAACAAAAATGGAAAAAAAAAATAATTCCATAAAAATTAATAAAAGAAAAGGTTCAGTATAAAGTGAATTCATTAATAAGAACTGACATTTTCAACGAAATCAGATAATTCCTTGATCTTCGAAATATTTACCAAAGTAGGGTAATTGTCGAAAAATGCTTCTGATTTTGGAGGTGCCTTGTTTTAACAGTAGATTTTTTTTTTTCCCAAAAGTAGTTATTGGAATTTTCAATATGTCGACATGTCACCTATCAAGATCAATTTAAGTGCAGTACAAGTCTGGCGAGAATATCTCATCATTTTACAATTGAATTGGATAGATGTAAGTGCGTAAGCTAGCAGTTTCTTTTATCGCACTTCTTGCTTGTGGAACTCCTTTCCGGCTTCATGCTTTCCGGTCAACTTTAATTTTGAAAAAATTTAAATGCAATGACAGTCGTTATCTTCTGTCTTAATTCTTGTCCTCATATTGTTTTCACCCACTAATAGTATATTTTTCTTATATTCTTTAATACTTAGTAACCCACTTGCGTTTTAGTGGCTTTATTGCCTTGCTTTGTAAATGCCCATTTTTAACATTTTTTTTCTTCTCTCCTTTACTCAACTTCTTGGAACCGGGGATTAAAGGGTCCTAGCGTTCCCTATACGACATGGTCGATTTCTTTTTAATCAATGTTTTGGTTATTGCGCTGTTAGTGTTCCGTATTTCTTTAATTTTTAAAATTTTCGCGCGCTTTTTGAGAGTTAGAGATGACATTAGACAACTATTATTTTTGACCTATCACCTTGATGACCGCTCATAGGCTCTCCTACGTAAACAAACGTTATTTTCACTGTTTTAAGTAGAAATAAAAAGAAAGTGAAAAAAAGTGAAAAAGAAAAGAAAGAGAAGCGTTTAATGGTAGTTTCAGTGAAATGGGAAAGTTAAACTTGAATTAAAGCCGAGAGAAGGGGAGGGGAATAAAAGACAGAGGGGAGGAAGAGAGAGCGAGAGTGGAGAAAAGAGAGAGGGGAGGGAGAGAGAGGGGAGAAAAGAGGGGGGAGGAAGAAAGAGTGGAGAGAAAAAGAGGAGGGAGAGAGAAAAAGAGAGGGGAGAGAGAAAAGAGAGGGGAGAGAAAAAACAGAAGAGAGAGGGGAGGAAGAGAGAGGGGAGAGAAAAAAAGAGGGGAGGAAGAGAGAGGGAAGAGAGAGAGAGAGAAAAAAGAGAGGGGAGGAGAGAGAGAAAAAAGAGAAAAGAGAAAAAAGAGAGTGAAGGAAAGAGAGGGGAGAAAGAGAGTGAAGGAAAGAGAGGGGAGAAAGAGAGTGAAGGAAAGAGAGGGGAGAAAGAGAGGAGGAAGAGAGAGGAGGAAGAGAGAGAGTGGAGGAAGAGAGGGAGAGAGAGAGAAAAAAGAGGAGAGGAGAGAAAAAGAGAGGGAAAGAGAGTGGAGAAAAGAGAGGAGGAAGCGAGAGGGGAGAAAAGAGAGAGTGGAGAAAAGAGTGGCGAGAAAAAAGAGGGGAGGAAGAGAGAGAGGGGAGAGAGAGAAAAAAGAGAGGGGAGAGAGAGAGAAAAAAGAGGGGAGGAAAAGAGTGGAGAGAAAAAAGAGGAGAGAGAGAAAAAAGAGGAGAGGAGAGAAAAAAGAGAGGGAAGGAAAAATGCGAAAAGTTATGATGAACGAACATTTTAGTGAAATGGGAAAAGTCACTTTCAACACTTTTCATTTGTACCCCCTTACTTAAGATAACGACCAGCATTCATATTTATGATTGTCATTGCAATATTTTGTTGTAGTTGTTAAGCTCAAATATGTAACGATGTGAGATGGGATTTATGTTACTCTCACAGAATTCACCAATCATTATCATTACTCAATCATTAACTGAAGAATTAAAATTCATCAGAATACTCAAATAGGAAAACCGTGAAATTTTCACAGGACTTTCCAATGAATAATAATTTTATTTTTGGGGAATCTAATTTCAGATATATTTCCCTTTGAACCATGTTATTAATTACGTGACTAAAACAGATGACTCACTTTGAGAGAGAAAGCGAGGAAAGGTTTTCATTATTAAATGCCAGGAATAATCCAATTCTCACTACAAACGTTCCATCCTCAAAGAAACTCTGTAAATGTTTAAAAAAAAAAAAAAAAAAGGAAAAAAAGCGAAGAATTTTACATTTTGAAACCAGATTCTAAAAGTGATAATCCGATATTGCATTAAAACAATATCCTAGTTTTAAAAAATTTCGAAATTCATCATTTGTTATGAAAAAAAAAAAACAAAAAAAAAACAAATTTTTTTTCTGGAGGTGATGCTTCCGACATCATCACATTAAAACACCGATTCCCGTACGATTAGCGAAGTTAAGCAACGTCGAGCCTGGTTAGTATGATGACCACTTGGGAATACAAGGTGCTGTAAAATCGAATGCGCAGGTTTGTAATGGCGTGGAATTGTTAATCGGAGAACTGTGTTCCAATTCCATTTGGGTTTGTTATAATCACTTACGCGCAAATACCCTTAGGAAAAAATATGAATCTACCTATTCTCCTCCCGGCTATGGGTTAATTAGTAAGTCATCATTATCTCTTTAAAAAAAAAAATCTTACAATCTAAAAATATTTTCTGACTTAATAACCTGGAAAGGTTTGATAAGTCATAGAAAACGTGTCAATTATTAAGCTACTGTCTTGTTTCCGGAAGTCATTTTTTACAGTGCCCAAGAGCCACTCGAAGTAGAGGGATACAGATAAGAGGTACAGTTTATGGAGATAGGTGAAGAAGATAACAGTAGGGAATACGAGTTAGTGGTTCGCTACAATGGGCGTGGCATGGCGGATCTTACCCGTGAAAAGTAGGTGGAACTAAAGTACGTAGTTAGTCTGAATTCTTTCCATGGAAATAGCATCAGAGCAGCGAGTGATTCGCGACGTTTCGTCTGTGTGCTTGCTAAAGATAGAAGATAGCCAAGCTCTAGGATTAGGATTAAGTATGGAGTAATAGTCTGGCTATTTAACGAATTAGTTCGTGAATTTGGTGACAGTAATTATAAGTTCAAACACAGTTCCACTTATTAATCCTTTTGGGGTTATTTAAAGCCAGAGTTCATTTCCTTCATTTTTTTTTTTTTACTCGAAGAATAATTCTTTTTTTGCTACGAGTGAATATTGCACTTGGAGATAGCAATCATTTCTCCAGATACAAATCCTACTATTTAACCCATAGCTGGGAGAAGAGATGGATTCATACCTTTCCCCAATGGTATTTGTGTGTAAGTGAACGCAACGAATTCGACTGGAATTCGAACTCGGATCTCCGATTTCTCATTCCGAGCCGCTATCCGGCACACCAAGACTCAGATTCAACAAGATGAGATATCCCTAGGTATGGACAGCAAAAGGAGAACAATCTACTCTCGCAGATGAAATGGATTCAGTTCGAAATTCTGTAATGGCTCCCCGGATCGACAGACATCTGAAGAAGGACGGAGAGCACAACGGCCGAAACTTCGTGATTATAAGAAAAAATACGAGGACATTAGTCCAAACGTAAATCATAACCAAATTACCCCGGTAATTTCTTTTTAACACACACACACACACACACACACACACATATATATATAATCTCACACATTATCAAATGGACAAAATCCGACAATTATGTCTTAAAATAATTGTCGGACTTTGTCCATTTCATAATGTGTGACGTCACTTGTTTACATTTGATACGCCATGAGCAGATATGAATGTACGTGAGAGATTCATGGATGACTGAAGTTTAAAAGCAGTAAATTCTACCTTGCTAACCGATCGATCATCTGTGGCGAAATCGGTAAAAGCACGTCAGGCTATATGAATTTCTTGGACATTCAGGCCGGTAAATGTTGTTTAATACTATTTTTTATAGACAGAGCATTTACTTAAATGTTTTATCTATAAAAGGAATGTATAAACATAAAAATGTCTTATATATATATAATATTACATTTTTCTTGTAGACGAAAACAATTTACTCACTACAAAGATGCAATTTCGTTTCGGTGCATTTAGTTGCACTTCGACTGGTGAGAAACAAAATGGTTATAAACAATTCTGTTTGTAAGCAGGCCGAAAGAACAATAGAAAAAGGAAAATAATTTGGTATAGGCCTCCCTTCAACAAATTAGTCCGTACCAAATTGGAACACACATTTTTAAATCTATTTAACAAACACTTTCCTACGAATAGTAAATGAAGTCAAATCTTCAATCGCAATACCCAAAAAATTAGTTATAACTGCTCTAGAAATCTAGATAAAATTATTAAATCACACAACAATAGAATACTGAATCTTTATAACGAAATTAAATGCAACTCAAACACAAATTCTAATATATCCCAGGTAAACGAGCTATGTAATTATAGAAACCCTGGTCAATGTCCATTATCAAATAAGTGCTTTACGAAATCCATTGTATATATGTGCTCCATCTCATCAAATAAGAACCCCCAAGGATATTAGATTCTATGTTGGATCCACTAGAAGACTTTTAAGGATCGATATTACAATCACATATTCTCTTTTACTAATATAAGCAAACGCAATATGGCCTCACTTTCTAAATAACTTTGGAAACTGAAGCAGGAAAGCAAAACACCTAAGGTTAAATGGAAAATCCTAAAACAAACCAGAACTTTCAAATCTCTGAACGAATCTTGTTTCTATGTTTGCAGGTAAAAATATGTATTATTAAACTTTTGAACAACAGCCAATTATTAAATCAAAGCTTTGAAACCACCGTTATTTGTAGGCATATTAAAGATCTAACATTAAAATCTTGCTAAACTTTCAAATCCATAACTGTAAACGTTTCAAATTATAACTCATCTCCTTCGATATACTTTCTACCCTCTTATATACCTTTCTACTAATCTTTCTTAAATTATGATTCTTAAAATGTTTTTGCACATATATAATACTAGTAATAGTAACAGATAAATTGATTTACATCCATACTTATTCTACAAGTTATACAGTCTGACAATAGTTCAAAATTTGTTTATAAAAGTTATATTAACATCCCATACTTTTATATACCTTTTTACTTGTATCTTAAATTCTGAACTAAAACTTATTGGTAACCCCCCTCCACCCAAATAACTTATGTATTCAACATACCAAGAAAAAAATCCCCACCTCTTAATTAATTAATTTACAGAATACATTCATTGATTACAGAAATAGTAGCAATAATTCCAGCCTTAATATACGCAATTCAGCTCTGGCTTTGTTTTAAACATATCAAAATCTTTTCCAATTACAACGATAAGCATCGTTTAAACTTTTCCCTCCTTCAACCTTCATCGTCTTGCTCTCTCCTATTCCAACCTTTCCTCCTCAACCCATCACTCTATGAGAGGCTTGGAAATGCTGTGCCTAAACCCTTGACCGTTGCTGTCGATTTAAATTTTTCGGGTCGTGCCATCACTTTAACAACTCAACAATCCTTCACCAAACTGTTATCAACAAGCAATATTGTTCCACTCTGTCACCTTTTTCTTTTCCTATATTTTCTTCATTATTATACGTCCCCTATTAATTTGGTTTTCAAACAAATACAAAAAAAAGGAAGTGAAGTTCCACGGGTGGTCTGCGTACAAACAGAATCGTTCATAAACATTATAGTTCTCATCAGTCGAGGTGCCACGAAATTCACCGAAACGAGGGTGCATCTTTGTAGGGAGTAAATTATTTTTATCTATATGAAAAAATTAAAACAAATAATTATTGCTCTATCAGTATTGAGCCCTCTTTGAATTAATGCTGTGAGCGTTAGAATTCATATATTATTTTCGTTCTCATTAGAGTGGGATATATATATATATATATATATATATATATATATATATATATATATATATATATATATATATATATATGTAACCCGGATATAAGAGAGATTCTCTGGTCCCAAATTAGAGCCTGTGTTAATGTATATAAATAGATTAAACCCGATATAAGAGACTTCTTCTCAGGTCCCGACAACTCTCTTATACCCGGGTTACACTATATATATATATATATATATATAGGAATAAAATCAATTCTAGAGTCTCTTTGGATGACGAAATAGTTAACCGAATCTCAAAGGCAGCTTATGGGATTTTCACTGAAAATGAAAATCAGTGTCTATCGAGAAGTCATTCACACCACACTTCTTTATGGGTAGGAATTGTGGACGCCATACAGGATACACATCAATCAATTTGATGCTTTTCATAAACGCTGTCTTCGCTCAATATGTGGTTGTACACGGGAGGACAAAATCTCTAACCCCGATTTTTTCATCAAATGTGGCGTTGTTGCTACTGAATCTTTTCTGATCCAATCAGAGTCCAGATGGGCTGGTCATGTCATCAGATAAGTGATGATCGGATGCCGAAAATCCTCATGTATAGCCAACATTTTCATGGTAAGCGTCATTGGTTACGCTTCAAGAATAGACTTAAATACAATTTAATTGCTGCAAACATCGCTATAGAGGAGTTCGAACTTGCTGTTGAAAACCGAGCAAACTGGAGAAACATCTGCTACCGATGTATAAATAACTTTGAAACGAATCGTCTCAACCATCTGAGAGAATTAAGAATTAACATTAAAGATGGGGCTAATGCATTAGCCGAAATGACGGTCAAACCTTAAGTATGCCCTTCGTGTGAATGATTAAACTGAACTGAAAGACACTCGTACATCAAAACGACGGTAGAGTCCATAATATATATATATATATATATATATATATATATATATATATATATATATAAAAATGTATTTAAATAAAAAGAAAGAACAGTAAGATATATAATCCGGTGTTCTTATAGATATTTGTATTTTACAAAACCATTTTTGAAACATGGTTAGAACTGTGTAGGAAAAAACCCCATATTTTAAATCAATTAATTTATTATATATATATATATATATATATATATATATATATATATATATAAGGTCATCCAATAAGTTCTGTCCGAATTTTGAATAAAGAAAACAAGTGACCAAATGTTACATTTAATTGCAGAAGATTCAATCAACAATGTATTTTCCCTGATTATCTATGACTTCCTTCCATCTATTAACAAGCTTACAAATTCCGTTACTGTAAAATTATTTTGGCTTTGATTCGAAGAACTCGCAAATGTCAGTTTTATCTTCTTCCTGTGTTACAAAAGCTGTTTCTTCCAAATGATTCTGTAAGCTACGAAACAAATGATAGTCTGAAGGAGCAAGATAGGGAGAATAAGGTGCATGAGGAATTTTCTCCCAACCAAGTTCTTCGATCTTTTGTTACGTGATTCTTGCTGTGTGGGGTCGCGCATTGTCCTGATGAATCATCACCTTTTTTCGATTCACTAAAGCAGGTCTTTTTTTCTCAAAG